TAGCTCTGGGTGCAGCAGGTCCAGGAGCACAGCGCAGGGTCATGGCAGACAGCATAATGGAGGCGAGCGAAGGCCCCCAGGAGGGGCACAAATACTCCCTCTCGGACCAGCCTCCCGACCCAGCTGCCTTGAAGAATCAGGGCTCTTCGTTTGGGAAAAGTCTGCAGCATCACAGGACGGGAAGGTAAGGGTGGCGGGAAGGGCAGCAGCCAGAGGACTGGGAAGGCAGAGAGGTGGCGAGGGCCTGTTCTGATGCCGGGGTAGGTAGCTGGGGCACAGGGTAGGGTTCCAGCCCAGCCTGGAATGGACAGCTGGGGACCAGGTCTTCAGGTGCCTTGGGGGCCAGGCCAGCCCTCTGATCAGGCCTAGCCAGGGGCCTGATCCTGCCTGGCAGTGGATGCTGGGGTCTGCGGGAGACTGGTGCCACCCTTTCAGTGTCTAGCTGTGTCTAGAAGAACAGGGGAGGTGGTTTCCTGCTTGGCCCTGTCCTTGTCCTAGTGTTGGGTGGCCCCTGGATGAGGTCGGCCCAGATTTCAATGTCTACGTAAAGGAAGCTCCTTGACCCTGCTCAGCCTCCGTCAAACCCAGTGTCTGCTCAGTGCGTGGTTCTGGGGTCCTATTAGAGTTGGGGTCTGGTAGGTGCTTTGTCAGCCTGAACCCAGGTCCTGAGCGACGGCAACTCTCACGAAGGTGAGGTCTGCTGTGGGTGCGATGGGTTCCTGGGTGCTGCCGGAGGGGGCTCCCTGATGAGGGGTACCAAGAGCATCCCTGCCTTACTGTGGGACCCTGGGCCTCAGTTTCCCCAGAAGTAAAACAAGGGATTTGGCCCAGAGTCTGGACTCCCTTGAGTCTGAAGTTGGTGTTTGGAGTGAGCATGCACACCTAGGTCGGCAGGGGACAGTGGACTGGGTTGCTGGGGCTGGCTCCTCCACCTCTCTGTTCATAAATTGGCCAGCTTAGCCTGCCCAGGGACCCCACAGGGACAAAGTCGAAAGGGCAGGATGCTGCTTTGGTCTCAGCTCTGCCCTCTGCTGGCCGTTGCACCCAGGAGGACTTGACCCCTCCTCTGTCAGCTCTAGGCAGTTCCGTGACTAATCCTTGATTTGTGGCCCAGCGGGGAGTGGAGGAACGAGTGACTGTGTCCTGTCTCTGACCCTCAGGGCGGCTGCAGCAGGGCCTCTCTGGAGAGCTCTGTGTGGGGCTGCAGGGTCAGCCAGCATCTGTCCCATGGTGGAGCTCCCCAGTGTCATCTGTACCCCTGGCCCCAGTTTCCTGGCCAGCAGACACTGACAGTGGGGCCTGGTCTGAGGTGTGAGCTCCCCTGTCAGGTACTGGGGACCCAATTCCTGGTCCCCTCTCTGCCGGCCCAGGCGCTGCTTCCTGCACGTGACACCATCTCCCATACACAAGCCCAGCATAGCCCCTGGGGGGCCCCAGGATCTTGTACCCCTCCCAGATGGGGAGATGGACATCAGGGCTGAACTCACACCTGGGGGGCAGTGAGGGAGACCGCAGGGGAGAGGGCAGCTGAGGCCTTGGTGCAGAGGAGTCCTCACCCTTTGTTACCCCTCTGCAACCCTGGGGCAGAGCCCTGGGGGTGGGGCCCATGGTGGGGAGTGGCTGGAGCCACACCTGGGGCACCACATCTGCACAGCTCAGCTCCCGGCTGCAAACGTGTGGATGAGAGCAGGGCGAGGCTAAGAGTGGTCCCAGGGCCCCTCACTCCCGGGGGTCCCCTAAGTCTGCTGACTTCACAGTGTTCTCTGCCTGCCGGGAGCTCCTCCAGCTCTCAGCGTGGACATTCTTCTTCCTCGGGTGCCTCTGCAATGTCACCTCCCCCAGATGCTGTCCCTGACTGCCACAGCTAACGCTGTCACCCACTTGGCAGCAGCTGCCTAAATCAGACCCTTAGTCAGAAAGGCCTCAGAACCCAGCATCCTCTGAGACAGGACCCTGCCCCAGCTAGACTGCCTTGAGGGCCCACATCAGTCTATTTGTGTCAGGAAAAGTTAGCTGGCTCCTGGGAAATGTCAGGGGTAAGTCAGTGCTGGCCCGGAGTGAGGCCCATGACGTTCTATCATTTTACGAGTGTCCTTCCTTAATCTGTCAGGGAGAAAACCAGGCCATAGAGGGTTTCCATGGCAACCAGAAGCAGAAGGGGGTGTTTCTCCCTGTCTGAGCTTGTCCCAGGAGGATGGGGCTGGCCAGAGGCTGCTGACCCTGGCCTTGAATAGCAGGAGCCAAATGTCCTTGTGTATGACTCCAGGCCCCTAGGCTTGGGCTGGAAAACCAGAGCAGGCTCGCTGACCAGTCCAGATGGTCCTGCACATCCGTGGAGCAGAGGGGGAAACAGCTCAGGGAGGGGCGAGGCAGACAGCAACTTGGTGGTACCCAGGGCCTCTAGAGAGCTCTTAGAGGGAGAATAATCTTCTGAACTGTGAACTTACTCATTCTTTATCACCTGCCCATCTCCCACCTACCCGCCCACCATTCACCTACCCATCCACTCATCCATCCACCCATCATTCATCCACCTACCCCTCTTCCCATCCACCCACTCATCCACCCATCCACCCATGGTTCATCCACCCACTCATCTGCCCATCCACCCACCATTCACCTACCCACTCATTTGCCCATCTATCCACTCACTCATACACCCATCCACTCACCCATCCACCCACTCACCCATCCATCTATCCACCATTCGCCCATCCATCCACCCATTGATCCACCCATTTATCCATCCACCCACTAACTACCACCCATCCATTCAAGGACTACATTTCATCAGGATGATCTTAGATTTGTTCAGATTCCAACTCAGCTTTGAGATCTGCAGACTCCAGTGTGTCACTGTAGCACCTGTAACAGGGCTTTGCCAGAGATCCTGATAATCATGGAGGAAGTGTCTGAGTCCAGTGGAGCCCCTGGGTGTGGTGTGCAGGGAAGCGTGAGGGGACTGGGATGGTGTTCCACATGTGGCCCAGGGCTTCCCTCCACATCCAGATCTGAATCTGCTTTTGTAGAACGTAAGCAGCCCATGTTGGGGGCTGGAACTATACAGTTTCTCACAGGTCATGCTGGTATTCTGCAAAGTCAGAAAACCAAAGCGACACTGTCTGATTTCTTGGTTGTTTGTGTAGTGAATAACCGTGCTTGACACAAAAAGAAACTTGGAATCCAATACAGGCACGTTGCAGCCCTAGTGCACTGACAGCTCGTAAACATCCACAGTGCTTAAGAGAATTTGGGTGGAGAAAGTCAGGTCCAACTTTTATTTATAGTTCAATATATGCTTAATCACTTGACTCAGACCAATAATTCTCAGTTGAAATCTTATCAAGAGAGCTGAGATCCATTATATTAGGAAGCTACAATTTTAGATTTCTAAGAATTAGTTTGGAATGGTCTATCTAACAAAATTTTAAATTGTTAATGTAATTACACTTTTGGTGGGTGTTTTATTAAGTAAAATTGAAAGTGGGGCCTAATGTTAAGAGAACCTTTTAAAAAGAACTTAAGGGTTGTTAAACTTATAAATACAATATTCATAGACTTGATCTAATACTTTAAGGAAAAATTCCCAGTTTTCTGACTGTGTAACATTGATAAATGAAAATTTAATTTAAAACTCTAAAAGAATGTCTAAATAATCTTTTCTATGTACAAAAACATAACTCTGAAGACAAATAAGATCTCTCACGAATATCACCACCCGCTCACTCTTTCGTCTCTCCACTGTGCCTACCTGCCTTTCATCTCCCTTTCCACTTTTATGCATTTATCTGTCCGTCTTCCCCCTCCCACCCATCCATTGGGTCAGCCTTTCCTCTGTCTGTCTGTCTGTCCACCGTACTGCTACTCACCAACCCCCAACCCTCCCCCATCCACCTGTTCACCTGCTTGTCCTTCTTCTTTTCACCCACCCACCTGTCCGTCCACCTGCCCGGGTGTCTGTCCCCCGCCTAGCAAACCTTACTGAAGGACCTGGCAGGCAGCATATGGTAGGAAAAGCTACCTGCGACTGAGGGGGCACCTCTGTCCCGCAGAACTCTCAGGACCTCTCAGAGCCTGGCCCTTTCCTTCTGCCCTTTTTCCTTACCTGGCCCGTCCCTGTGGGCTGCTGATGACTATGGTGTTGAACTTGAGTGCCCTGGTGCTGAGAGTCACGGTTCGAGACCCACCTGCTCCCTCACTTGCTGGATGACCCTGGTCAGCTGAGGTCAGGGAGCACTGGGTCCTAGCATGGTTGGGTCAGCGTGTGTGGCTCGGGGGCAGAGCCTGACACGGGCTCAGCTGTGGTCACCTTGTCCTTTAGGCCTGTAGCCATGTGTCCTGCTAGACACATGTGCTCTTTTGGGTATGGAGGGGAGCATGAGGCTCTAAGGCCTGAGTAATAGGGGAAGTGACAACCTGTTGTTGAGTGGTCCCTGCAGCCCCCGCTGGAGCCCCAGACAGTTTGCTATCCTGCATTGGGGCTCCACAGGCTCCCCAAGTCTCCCTTGGCCCTCAGCCTTTGCTCAGGGCCTGTAGATGCATATCCCTCCCTGAGGCCCCAGCCCAGCTGGAGGGGCCGGTGCTCTAGCGGGGGCCCAGAAACTGTCCAGGTGCGCAGGGTGAGCAATGAGGTGTGGAAGAGCTCAGAGCAGTGACTCTGCCAGTGCCCTTGGAGCGCACGCTGGGGGCTGCCAGGACACCCTGGAGTCAAGGGCCAAGCCCAGCAATGGAGGGCTTGGCCCGCTGTCAATCTTTCCTCTTTCCCTCCTTCCCTGCCTCCCTTCCTTCCTCCATCCTCCCTTCTTTCCTCAGTGCTGGGGATGAAACTGAGGGTCACACATACTCTGCAGGACCCCTGCGCCCCAGCCCAGGCCACCCTGTGCCAGCCTCTGGTGTTTGCTGGAGTCCTCATTTGTACCCCTTGATCACTGATGAAGTTCTGTGCTTATGTTTGCCATTTGAATCCTCTTTCTTTCTTTCTGTCTTTTTTTTGAGACAAGAAATGCCTATGTATTTGAGGGTGGCCTCCAGCTCACAGTTTGCTCCTGCCTCAGCCTCCGGAGGGCAGGGACTACAGGTGAGTACCACTACTCTGTCTGAATTTCTTTCTTTTTGTAGGTGTAGAGAGTCAAACTTGGAGTTGGCCAGGCAGGCACTGCGCCACCCCGCTGTATCCCTGGCCCTGAATCAATTTCTTTCATTTTCCTCTTTCTTTTGTGAAGTAGCTGTTCAAGTATTTTACACATTTGAGATTAAATTTTTTTTCTAAGTTGTTTTGTTCTTTTCCGTCATGAATAGTTAGGAGTTCTCACAGATTTCCTAGATGAGCTCCAGCCAACGGATCTGTGCGGGGGAGCTCTTCCCAGCTGTGGGGTGCTTCGCCCAGGGGCCCCAGCGGAAAGACAGCTCCCTGGTGCCTCCTTCCTGGCTGTGTCCTGGGAGGGCTGCTGCCTCCACACCCCACGGATGTGAGATTCTCTCCCTCCTCCTTTCCCAAAGATCTGCGAGTTTATCCTTCACATTTCCGTCTTTAATCCTCTGGCTGCTGGAATTTAACTTACTGATTTTTTTCTGATTTTTGGGGGGACAGTGAAGCAGGAGTCTGTCTGTGTTTGTCTTCTTTGTGGACAGTCAGTGCTTTGGCTGCAAAGTCTGTCCATCTCCTGGGGAATCCAGCCTGGCACACGCCTGTGCCCATTGTCTGCCCATTGGCATTTTATCTCTGTACCATTTTAACTTTGTTTGCAGGACTGGAGGCAGAATCCAGGGCCCCCTTGCCAGGCAAATGTGTGAGCGCCCACCAGACCTCAGCAGCAAACCCGGGACCTCGTGGGCAACTCCTCCACCTCCTTCTTTTGAGAATGACAGTTTTGGGTTTGGGTGTGGTCCCAATGCCTGTAATTACAGAACTCCCAAGGCTGAGGCAGGAGAATCACAAATTTTAGCCCAGGGAAAGTTAGTGAGTTTGCAAGATTCTGTCTCAAAAAAAAAGATGGGTGGGTGGGGATGCAGTTTAGGGTGAAGACCCTGGGTTTAATCTCCAGTGCCGCAAATAAATCAATAAATAAATGAAAAGAAAGAAACATCTTGGCTCTTGTCAGCTCTGTGTGATTCCACATTTTGGAGCCAGATTGTCAAATTCTGCACACACCCACACCCTGAGGATGGATAGCTGCTGCAGGCGTTGCTCTACAAATCTTGGAACGGCACCATCAAGCCTTCCAATTTGCGGATACTTTGTCTTTTTTTTGAGACAGGTTTGCTCTGCTCCTGGTTGGACTTCAACTTGCTATGTAGCTCAGGGTGGCCTTGAACTTGTGCTCTGTCGGCCTCAGCCTCCCTGCGGCTGGAATTACAAGCATGTGCACCACTCCCAGCTCAGTGCTGCGCTGTCTCTCCCTGCACTGATGTCTTTGTTAATGACTTTGCATGCTTTTCTCTGCAGAGCTGCAGCCCTTTCGGGCACCTTCTTGCACATGCCTCATGCCCACAGAAGTGTTGTCTGTCCTCCTTAACCTCATACACCTGCGGTGATCGTGGCAGGGCAGTGGGCCATCCCTGTAAGGCTGCTCCTTCAGGTCCCCTGAAGTTTAGGCTGGTTTCTGTCTGCGAGGCTAGAACCTGATCTGTTCGGCCTGCAACAATCTGTGTGCCTCCTGCTGGCTTGAAGCCAGCTCCTGAGCCCCCTCCCAGCTTGAACTCAGGTCCACCTTACCCTCACCCCAGGACCCAGTATATGTAGCTGGCCTGCAGCTGCTCTGAATTCCAAGGCTGGTTGGCTGCTCTCCAAAATGGGCAGGCACACGGTGCTGTTTCCGACAGCCCAGGCACTGAGGCCCTCTGGTGGGTGCCACACAGTGGGTGCCAGCCAGGGCCTCTCTAGTCACACCACCCCTCTGTATTGTGGTGACAGCTGTGGGCAGTTCACCTGTGGGCAGTCCTGCTCCCACCATCCGCAGAGCAGTCAGGGCTTGCTCCCTCTCCTGGCCCGGCAGTGATCTACGCTTGCTTGCTTCCTTGGCTCAGAGCTCTGAGCTCTGGTTTGTTTGATGTGATGGCAGATAACTTGACGGAAGGTCCACTTGACCTCACAGACAGAAAGCTGTCTGTCCTCTGATTCTGGGTGGATTTTTCATGGCTTTTTGCTTTCTTTTATTTTTTAAATGCTGTAACGTTTTTATCAGCACCTGTTTGCAGTGTATAATGATCACACTTGAGGTGGGGAATATCACACATCTGAATGCTTTTTATGTCCCTTTCCCTCCCCTCGGACCTCCTCCTTTGATCTCTCAGCCTTTTGCTTTCTTTTAGATCATTTTCTCCAGCTGGTGAGAATTTTCAAGCAAGCAGAAAAGTTGGAAGAATAGGACCATGACCCTGCATAACCTGTGGTTAGAGTTAACTTGTGCCGTATGTGTGTGTACCGCGTCCATTGCACACATCTGTAAGTACACCTATGCGTGGACATGCATGCACACACAGGCACGTGCATAGCTGCTGTTTGGAGCATCCTGTGCATCCCAGCCCTCCTGGCAGTGTGGATGCGGCCAGTTGTTAGACGGCTTTGCCAGCTCTCACTGCGAGCCCCATCCTGAACCTCTGCCAGTCTGAGGGCTGCGTGAGGTATGTCTTGTCCTGGATTTAATTTGCATTTCATGAGTTATGTGCAAGGCTGACCTGTGGGCTGCATGGGACCCATCTGACCATGCCGTCCCTGCTGCAGTGCTCTTCCTCTGGGAGTCCCCAGGTCTACCCTCCTGGCTTGGGAAGCCAGATACTGATTCCACACTAGTGTGTGAATGTGGCCCATGGTTTGGAGCCCGAGACTGAGGGCCTGATGGGGTCGCCCACAGAATGGTATGACTTCCTGTCCCTCCAACAGCAAGTGACAGAAGCACATCATGAGTGGACCTGCTTCTGTGATGGGTCATGCAGGGGCAGTGCTGCCCTTGGTGTCCCCAGGGCTCACCCTGTAGCCTCTGCAGGGCTCCTTTGTCCAGGTCCCATTCACCAGCCACATGCCACATCTCCCTTGAGTGGCTTTTGTGTGTATTTTTCTCCCACACACTGTGAAGTTAGGGCTCGGCCTCCTGGGCGTCCTCAGAGTTTGGGTCTGTGGGGCAAGTGTGGAGAGGAGTCGGCTCCGTCCAGGATGCAGATTTCCAGACACAAGTCAGAGCAGATGGCTGCGTGGATACGGCTCCAGCAATAGATGGCTGCGTGGCTCTGCTCCTGGGCGCCGGACAGCTGCACCTCTTGGAAATCAACGTGTGGAAGCCCAGAGGGCTTGTGTCACTTATGAAACCCTCACCTCAGGCACCTCAGAGGTGCCTGTCACTCTGTGCTCTGCCCCGCCATGCCGCATCCCGTGGCCCCTTCTCCCTTGCCTGGCTGCGCTGTCACATGTTTTGCAGGGTCAAGGCCACACTGTGGCCCCTGCACCAAGCATGTGCTATCATGCTTGGTGGGTGAACGAAGGTTTAACCAAGTGACCTACCAGTCACTGGTGCGTCTCTTAGGCCAGAGTAGTCTGTTCCCTCTAGATTAAAGTTGTTGGTTAAATCCAGTTGCTCTACTTTTTCTTATAAGGCTGACTTTTTGAGGGTTTTCTGTGGGGGAGGTTGAGACAGGTTTTCACTGTGTAACTCAGGCTGGCCTTGAACTCTTGGCAATCTTTCTGCCTCAGCCTCCTGGGGGCCGGGATTACAGGCAGTGCTGACTTCTGAAAGGCTGGGCCATCACCAGGGTTGCTCCTTCTGGTTTTGTCTCCCCTGTCCTCTTCTCTTCCTGCGAGGGGGGACTCAGTCTGCTTTCCCCTGTATGTTTTGTCTGGTTTCCCCTCTTTCCTGCCATTTCTGATCTGACCAGAGCACTGCTTATTCTCCTGCTTCACCTCTTCCATTGGATGAGGGATACCCATTCTGAAAATGTTTGCAGTTTACAAAGTCGCCACCTCCATGGCCCACCCCAGTGCCAGGTCAGCATGAGGGCCAGGGGCGGCGTGGTCCCTCCTCTTCCCTGCACTGGACTGGGACTCCTCTCATCCTTCACGGGGGCAGATATGCGACCCATCAGGACCATGTCTGTCCCTTGTGGAGTTGGGGAAACTTGCTTTTAGAGCAGCGCAAATCAAAATCGATTTTGTGGGGCTGGGGATTTAGCTCAGCGGCATAAGCACCTGCCTTGCAAGCAGGCAGTCGTGAGTTCGATCCCCGGTACCGATAAAAATGAAAAAGACAAAAAAAAAACAAAACCGATTTTGTTTGACTTCACTGACTCCAAGTCTGACTCATTGTTTGGTCTGGATCAGGTTTCTGTCTCTCTTCTCCCACCAGGAGACCTGCGGTTCTTACTGAGTAGGACCTCCCAGGTCCCTTGGTCTGTTCCAGAAAGCATGCATTGTTCTTCCCATACTTTTTAAAATTTTTATTTATTTATTTTTATTAATCGGTACCAGGGATCAAACTCACGACCGCCTGCTTGCAAGGCAGGTGCTTATGCTGCTGAGCTAAATCCCCAGCCCCTCTTTTTTTTTAAACTGGAGCTTGAACGCAGGGCCTCCACACCGAGCTGCATCTTCAGCCTTGTAACTCACATTCATGTATTTATTCATGTTTTATTTTTTTTGAGGTACAGTCTTGCTAAGCTACACAGGCTTGGGCTCAAACCTGTAATCCTCCTGCCTCAGCCTCCCGGAGTGCTGGGATGACAGGTGGGCACCTCCATGCCCTGCGGGAGTGTTGCTTTGGAATGAAAGCTGTCACTTCCCTGTCTTGTTGCCAGCAGGGTTTATGGGGAACAGTGGCCTTGGGAAGCCTCCCTGCTTCTCTGCACATGAGGCCAAGTCCTTTCTCCCTGGCCGCCTTTGGGGTGCCCCAAGTTGGCTTCACGCTCCCTGGCGGACCCTGGCTTCTTGACTCTGGGACCTGGTGTCTGACACTAGTTTTGATCCCTTTGAGTGTGTCTCCTGCACCTTCTCCTCTTTCTGCCACCCCGTGACAAGGCTTCTTGGGTGCCCTGCTCCGTGTCCTGGCGCTCTTGGTGACTCCCAGGAGAGCGGTGGCTGCACTGGCTTCCTCCCTGCCCTCCCATTGGCCCTTCTAGGTCTTCAGTTCCTCCCTGGCTTCCTCACCAGCGTCGATGGGGACAGCACTCGGGTCCCATCCAGCTTAGACACCCACACTGCTGCTCCCTCTGTGTGACCTTCTGTCCCCAGGTCCCGGCTCCGTTGCTTCCTTGGTGACCATAGTTTTTAAATTTTTAATTAATTTATTTTTTGTACCAGGAGTCAAACTCAGGACCTCACACTTGTTAAGCAGGTGCTATGCCACTGAGTGGCACATCCTGCCCCAGCGACCTCAGTTTGCAGTCAGTGCAGCTGGGGCCACTCCTGGATGTCTCCGTGCATCCCGGATGCAGCTGGGGTCCAAGCAGCCGCCTTTCTCCTTCCTCTGCTCTGATCCCTGCTGCCATTTGGTGGGCTTCAGCCTTGTGCTGTCTCTAAGGAGACGCCAGCGGTATTTATTTTTCCTCTCCTGTATCTAATGTTTTTATTTTCCTCTGACTGTTTTTATGATTTTTTTTGATCTTTGATTTTGGCATTTGGGGTGTGTGTGTGTGTGTGTGTGTGTGTGTAAATTTCACTTCAGATTTGTTCAACTACTTCTTGGCTCTGAAAGCTAATTTTTTCATCATATTTGGGAAAAGCTTGGCCCTTTATGCTTCAAAGCTGCTAAGTCAGCCAGTTTGGGTTTGAACTCGAGATCCTCCTGTCTAGCCTTCTGAGTACTGGAATGACAGCTGTGCACTGCCATGCCTGACTCCAGGTCCACATTTCTGCTCCCTCGTCTGTGACCCCCTGCCCCACAGATCCTAGCTGCCTCATCTCCCCAAACTCGGACAGCTCAGTGAGCCTGCTGTGCTTTGCTAGGGTCCAGGCAGAAGGCGGGGAGGAGTCAGCTTCGGGCACAGTCCCCGGCAGCCACCTGCCTGCTGCTAC